AGAGCCAACAGGCTGTACAGAAGCTTGTGTCCGCGCATCTTTCTCGTCATCGCTTTAAAACAACGACAGCAAAGGAGTGGGATGTGCTAGACACTTGTTGGGTTTTTTTGGAGATGGTCATCTGGAAAGGCAGGGCTTCTGAGCTTTGTTTTGAAATCTTCCCTCTCGATTCTGAGAGTAATTTTACATCACGTTAACAATCCTTGAAATAAATAAACAGAAGCTTGTGTCCGCGCATCTTTCTCGTCATCGCTTTAAAACAACGACAGCAAAGGAGTGGGATGTGCTAGACACTTGTTGGGTTTTTTTGGAGATGGTCATCTGGAAAGGCAGGGCTTCTGAGCTTTGTTTTGAAATCTTCCCTCTCGATTCTGAGAGTAATTTTACATCACGTTAACAATCCTTGAAATAAATAAATCCCAGAACTTTATTGTTCCCAGCAAAAGAAGGTCTTCAGGTGTGCTGCTTCCGTGACTGCGGTGTTTCTTTCTGAAAGCATCTGTTGTTCTAGCTTAAAGAATGTAGGAAAATGGGGTGGGGGACGACGCACATACAGTTGTTTGGTTTGCCCGTGGGATGCTTCTGTGCTGTCAGTCTCCTTGAATTAATGATTCAGGCCCCTGTAAGGAGAAGTTACACTGCGCAGGCAAAGCTGCGTGTTCACCCTGACTTGGACGCTGTGCACACCAGAAGTCTAAGTTGGCCAGCTTTAAGTTGGCTGGGTTTTTTCTGCTGAAGAGCCCTCTTAACATTATAAAGAAGATAGCAAAAATTGCTGCTGGGTCTGGGCTTTTTACATAAGTCAAGCTCAGAAAAAAACAATGATCAGTCCTTCAGAATCTGTCTGTGTTTTCATTTTAGGCTGCATTATGCCAGAAATTTGTTAGATCTGAAAATATTCACAAAATGAGGAAATGTTTAATATTTTCAGATTATTTAAAAGGTTATTGCTTCTTAAAAGTTAAAGCAAATACTCATGAATGAATGAAGCCATCTGGCCTTTGAAAAGAATGCAACACTTCTCGTCAGGGCCAGACTTTAGAATTAGCCCAGCTGTCTTGTAGATACTTACATAAAACTGCCAAAATGGGACTTAAGCTCTTGAGAAAATTGGGTGCATGGTTTACAGTTAGATGTGAGGTGAGATAAAAAAAAATCCAGTCATGAAAGTGATCTGCTAGGCTTTGATTTAGTACTCGTCCTGAAGACAGAAAATGCAATGTATTTTTCTGCTGTAGCCTGTAGCAGGCATGCAGCATTCTCTATGCTTTCAACCAAATAGCCAATTACTGTAGATTTGTTAGTATGTGTTACAATTTTTATTCCTGATCTTAGTGTTCTCTCCCTCCTATTTGTGCAACAGTGCCTTGCCTGTTCAGCGGTACTATTTCCGGGCCTGCAGTGTTTAAAAATACAAGTTTGATTTGGGTGAATACTAACTCTTGAGGTCAGGATCAGACCGCAGGATTTCTAGTCTGAAGTGTCAAAATACAGAATTTACATTGTCTCCGAGTGAATTTGTAAATGTATTTGATTAAGTAAACAGAGGAAATACTTTGCTTAGTTTTAAAGACACTGCAGTTGTCCATATTTTTTTGGTAAAGGCATGGGAAATAAACAAGATTGAAAACTTCTGATTCAAGAATAAATATAAAATAGTTCAAAACTCCTTCAAAGCAGGACATACACAGTTATATGTGAAGAGTACACCAAATTAAGAGAGCTCGAATTAAAACAGGTTTTGTTAGCTGCAATAAATTAGCTGCTTTTGGCTGTTCTTAAAAGTCCGTAAGTACCGTTCCCAGTGTCGTTTCATCAGCATACCAGTTTACATTGTTTCTAATACTGAAACCTAAAGTTTTTGTACAAGTGAGGCTTTTTGTATCAAGTGTTACAGAGAACCAGGGAGCCATTGGCCATGGCCAATGACTGTCGTAATTTTGATCAGTGACAATGCTTTATTACTTTTTTGTGTTATGATCACCGACAGACTTTTAAAAGACAAATAATCTTCATGTGACCAAGTTCAAAGCCCTACTTTAGTGATTGTGGGAACAATTACATCTTTTTCTTTAGAAAGTTAATGTTCTGTTAAAACATGTTTATTTCTTTATAAAGACATCAGGTATATAGTTTGCATAGGCCAGGCAGTCTCTAACAAAACTAGTGTTAGTATTAAGTAGGAGCTCTATTTTAAGATGCAAGGTTATTTATTGCTTAGTATTTCCACTTTTTCATAGGGAAAGGTTAAATTAGTCTAATATGGAGAGTATCAGAACGAGAAGGATGGTAGATACAGTAGAGAGTAAGGCCAAACTGAAAGCTGTAGTAAGCCCAGACTGGTAGACAGTCTGTGATTAAGATTCTCTACCTACAGCTGCCCAGGCCTGGGGTCTTGTGGCAGTTTGCTGGGACTGAGAAGAGAGAGAGTTGAGGAGTCCTTCAGCATTGCCATGGTAGTATTCCTCATGGCAGCATTAATTTGATTTCCTTATGCTGGTTTTCCTCTTTTGAGCAATAGCAAAACTTTGGCGCTTGCCGTAAGAGTTCTGTTTAATTGAGGTCTGGGTGAGGAGCTAGCAATGGAAATCACATTGCAGTTGCACGGAGGAGGGAAAAGAAATGTAAAGGTTGCAGTGGGGTGCTTTGTAACATAAGGCAGAATTGCATATCTTGCATATCCTCATCCTACTTTTAGGAGGTTTTCGGGCTGCACTTGAACATGCTGTCATGTGGTACAGGCTATACAAAAATGTATGATATTCAAGGAGGGGAATACATTTAGAGATTAACCTTTTCAGACTGAATTAATTCGTTTTGAAATTAAACTCTTTGCTGTGGTTTTCATCTTGAGGAGTTTAGTGTTAAGAACTGAGTAGTAGTATTAAAGAGAATGATGAGCCGTATAGGTAAAAGGAATCTAGAAGAGAATAAAGAATTGCAGGGTGGTGCTGTCATCTAATAAGGTATTGCCAGAGTAATGAAGCTAATGAACATGCCTCCCCATATTTCCCCCCTGTGATCCTAGCAGTGTAACACTTGCCCTTCCTGATGTAGTATGCCAAGATCCTGTTGTGTATCTAGGCTTTTGAATAGCTTTCATTTTGTCCATCCGTGTCTCTGAAGTGTCCTGAGCTCTCCGATGTTTCTGAAAAGATTGTCCTTCCTCTCTTTCCTCATCTGCCAGCTGTTTGGTTGGGAGCAGGCAGCTGGAGCTGTGTGTGCTATGTATGGATTTATTGGCTGGTTGGCTGTCCCTGTGTTTGTTGGGGTCTGTGTGTTGTATTTGACAGCTGATTTTTTATGAAACATAGAATCCTAGAAGTATTAAGTTCTTAGAACTTTCTGTCAATTTTGGCCTAAATTAGCCCGTGAATTTGTAAGCA